GGCTACTTTTAAAAATAGTTCAAACAAAAGTTTTATAGTTTCAAAGGAAAAAAGTAGCACTATCGATTCAATATTGTATGCATTTTCGAGATGTCGCTAGAATATTCCATATAAAATGTTCAGAAGGATTTGAAGCGAAACGTTTCCAGAATGTTAAGAGAATATTGCAAACGTAATATTTCAAATCAAACGTCACTAAAATAAATTAAAATATTCCATTTGCAACATTTTGAAATATTTTAAATAGAATGTCATCAGATTATTTCATATAAAACATTCAGAAGGATTTGAAGCAAAACGTTTCCAAAATATTTAAAATATATAATATTTAAAATATTTAAAAAATATTGCAAATGTAGTATATCAAATAGAATGTTTCCAGAATATTTCTTTTGAGACATTCTGAAATATTTCAAATAGAATGTCGCCAGACTATTTCATATGAAATGTTTACAAAGATTTGAAACAAAACGTCTTCAGAATGTTAAAAGAATATTGCAAATGTAATATTTCAAATATCTTCAGAATATTTTCTTTGCGACATTCTGAAATATTTCAAATAAAATGTCAGGCTACTTTATATGAAACTTTCAGAAAAATATGAAACGGAACGTTTCCAGAAATTATATTAAGAAAATATTGCAAATGTAATATTTCAAATAGATTGTTTCTAGAATATTTCAAATGAAATATCCTATATATAATATTTTTAGAAGTTTACAGAAATATTTCAAATGAAATATTTTATGAAAGACATTTGAAATATTCTGGCGATATTTCATGCTGTGTGGGATACTACTGTTACATTAAAATATTTTTAATTTTTGCTCGTGTTGAAAAAGATAAATAGCGGAAAAAAGATAAATAAAAAGCTAAATAAAAGATAAAAAATAAAAGATAAATAAAAAAATAAATAAATAGTAATAAATAATAATAAATTTAAAATCATTAATATTAAAGGATATATATTAATAAATATATTAATAAATTGGTAATATAATTAAAATAAAGTAAAATAAAGTAAAATAAAGTTTTATAAATATACACATTTTATTATCTTTAAAACGCTTATATTTTTAAATTATAATATTACAATTTAAGATTAATGTAATTAATGTATTTGAAAATAAGTGGGAATAATCAAAAGATGGCGGACCAATCAAAAGTTGCTTTTTCATGACCAGTCTCTTATTGTGTCTTTACGCCATATATATATGGGCATTTGGGCTTCGACAATTTAATGAGCTGCCATTAGAGATTTTCCAATTCCTCCAAATAAATAATTCTTAGGCGGTGTTTACAATAGATCGCAAAATCTATGGTGTAAGAAGAAAGGTAAACCATTCCGATGAATGCGCAGTAGATCAAAGATAGTGGGGGACAGTCAACCAATTACGCTTTGAGCTTTTATGCGAAATTCAATATGACTGCTTATTGAGTTTTGTTTTAAATGACAGTGTGATATTAATGCTAAAAATGCCAATTTGTCGATTTCAAAGTTGCAAGGTCGGACCGATCATTGTAATAAGGAAAATTACAATATAATTATGTATTGTAATTGTATTGTAATATTGTAATTATGTATTGTATTGTTTTCCCAAAGAGCATGAACTACGAAAACAGTGACTCGAAGAGTGTCAACGAAAGGAAGAAGATATAAAGCTCAACTATCGTAAGTTTATATTCCGAATGCTTATAAATATATCTTTTCCTTTTCATATTTTATATGTCACAAATAGCTTTTAAATTATAATATTACAATTTAAGATTAATATAATTAATATATTTGAAAATAAGTGAGAATAACCAAAAAATGGCGGATCAAAAGTTGCTTTTTCGTAACCAGTCTCTTATTGTAGTGTCTCTACCATAGATATACTGGATATCGTTTCAAAAGATAAAGTGCGGTCGTTGTATGGATGTCGCCATATTGATAATTAGACACTAGCATCTCTGGATTAAGAAACAGAAACTATTTACATAGCGTGAAGATAAGTTATCATCTTTTGCGTATTGTAAGGTAACTTATTACAAATTAATTATTACAGATTTAAATAACTCAAAAAATTAGACATATAATATATACAATCATATACATGTATTAACAATATTAATTCAAATAATTTTTTATGATAACATTTTGACATTCACATTAAAATTATAATATATTCAAAAAATAAGAAATATAAAATTATAAAAAATTGCAGTATAAAAAATTAAGATATATTTAATATATTTTATTTATAATTATTTTATTTGTAATTATGTTTCGCATATAATACAATATATTGTTGCAAAGGTTCGTAAGAAATTTTAGATAAAGGTTCGTAAGAAATTTTAGATAAAGAAATAAATTAAAATAAATAAATTAATTGAAAGTAACGAGTTCAATTATGCAACAATGATTTCATCTGTTTACAACCGTAAGATGCTCTTTCCCGTAACAGAACTGATATTAATTATGTTATAATGAATTTTTTTTATACACTGAAGCTGACCATATTAAAGGTCGAAATGTTTATAAATTGTTATTGTTTATATTAGTTAATTTTAAATACACGACAGCCACTTACATCTAGCTTGGCTTGTACAATCCGATTTTTGTATACTCAGAGTTAAGATAAAGAAATAAGATTATTATTAATAAGAATAGTGAAATCTTGTATTATCTGTCAAAAACATAATAGAAATCATCCATACTTAAGTTTTCATATGTAAGTGTAGTAATAAAAACTATACATATGGAGTGTTCAAAAAAAGTCTGAATAAAAACAATTCTGGATTTATTCGGCAGGATGGCGTTTTTAAAAGAAATATTTTAAACAAAATTTATAGGGTTGGGAAAAGGCATCTGCCTTTTAGTTAAATGCCTTTTATATAATTTTTGTTAAAAACATTTTTTTCAAAAACGTTATCCTCCCAAATAAATCCGGCTAAATTTTTAATTTTTTCGAACACTCTTCATATGTGTGTAGCGTCTATATGAGTATGCGAAATGTTTTTTTAGTTTTTCGAAACGTGAAAAAGAAAAAAAACTTTGGCTAGAACGATTACATTTGATTAATTTTCAACCTAAACAGTATGATGTTATTTGTTCGCAACATT